GAGATTTTTAACTTTGCATACCGGGTACACTGCAAAAATGCTTTCTCTTAAGAGTAGCTCCATAGTGAATTTCATTTTTATCAGATCAGAAGATCAATGTTAGCTAAGCTGTTTGCTTTTGGTTATTCTGCTGTTATTTTTTCACTCTGAAGGGAGACAGACATTCACCGAGTTGAAAGCCTCATCGCTGTTTGGTCTGTCATACTTCACTAACAAAACAAACGAATTCTATATTGTTTATTGAAACATATCTGATTGTTTATAACACCAAGGAAAAAATAGAATAAGGCTCTTGTTTGTCTTACAACGTGTTAGCAAAAAATTACCTGATATTTCTTGTTTTATTCAAGCATCGGCACCCATTTTGTTTGCAATTCCATTTCAAATGCTCCTTATCATTTTAAGAAAGATTTGTGAGGGTTGGGGAAGAAATATCTCAATTCTTTAGCGTCATACGCTAAAGAATTGAGATATGTACTCCGGTTATTCTGTGTACCTAGTTCACACATATTTACAGGCGCAACATGCGGTCAGTCGGGATAATGACAACCCTCATGCGCCAGACTCCATGTGCGTCTGACTACTTCGCCGGCGTTCGCGACTTCGAGTTATAGTATAGCGGCTGGCGCTTATGGCATGGTGACTGGTGGGATTAATGGTTAGCATTAACAAATGAATTGGGACTATGTAGAGAATAGACTAATTATTTGGCTGACGTGATTCATTTAACGTCTTTGTTTTACATTGTTTGTAATCAAATGTTTTATGTCACCTTCCTTGTATATTCAAAAAACAACATCTATTAGACTCCTACCATTTGGCAATCGTAACTCAAAACATCCAAGGCATGTACACCGAACATATTTTCACCCAATTTTCTTTTTTGATTGTGAAATGTTGCGCACCGCATTGCATTTAAGTGCATCTGACTGCATTTGAGTGCAACTGACTGTTTTCATGTTGATGCATTGCGGAATACAGATATTTTTAGAGGCAAGAGCGTTGTCCTGAACGGATTTAGCAAGGACGCCGGATATTTATACTTTAGAAGCGTATACTTAGCTTTTTAGGTGTTATTTTAGTCTTTGCATTGCCCGGACTGCAATGGAACGATTTTCTATATTGCGTTTTTATTATTATTCAACATATTTGACCTGAAGACAACCAACCATAGTCTACCTCCGAGCCAAACTAGGTTAAGCAGTTTTGAGATAGTTGTGTTTGAAATATTGTTCTTGTATTATATTGTATGAAACTAAAGACAATTTATACAATATTATCATGAGCATATAAATAGAACTCATTCTACGGAAAAATGCGCTTAACCTATGCTGGGTCTGAGGCTCAGGTATGGGTTGCTATCTTGAAGTAAAATACGTTGATCAGTGGTTCCTTCTCATCTATGCCTCAAAAGCAAACTATGTCGGGTCTAAATAAGCGATTTTGAGATAGTTGTGTTTGAATTTTTTCCTTGTATTTTTGCGTATTTAAAATGACTTAACAAAAATATCGAAACTGAACATAATGTTCAAGCCAGGAAGCGTTAAGATTCACCATTGGTCAGCAAGACTATGTACTATGTGCCAAAATGAGATGTTTATTTAAGAAAAAATGTTTTTTCAGTACACGCTCTTCCGAACACAGAAAGGTGATATATTTGTCTAAGTATAAATCAATATCCGTAAACCAAACGGTAAATTACGGTGAAAGTCATAGAACATATTAAAAACCCACGGTAGCAGTTTCTGAAAAACTCCTTGTTTACCGTCCTTTTTCCGAAGAAGGGTTATGTTGTTCGCTTTTGGGTATGTGTGTATATGGACAAAAAATTCTATTTTACAGGCTATGGTTCAAATGGCTTGATCGGAGAAATATGGGTCTACGCAGTGCGAGTTACAGTATGATAAAATTGTTTAAAATCAGAACCTCTATTGCATGGACTGCTAAATCTGTATTGACACTGCGAATGACACTGGGTACTTCATGGATAAAGGACAGATTTTAATCGGAATGTTCAACTTTGAAAATTTTATTTCGCAGGATACAAGCCAAAGGGCTTGATTGGTTCAGATATTTGAGGTGTCCTTAGATTCGTCTTCGGAATAACTCAATAGTACTTCAGCAGCAGTATCGTTGCATTGCACGTTTGGGAGCATATCACTGTCAAACCGAAAATCACCTGAACACAGCTCTGATCGTACAGTTAAAACCTCTTTCCTTTTAGTTACTGCAGGCGGGTTTTTTGTATGTTTAAAAACATGTGTTTACTATACATGTTCGTCTCGGACTATTAATAAAATGCTAACAAGGATTTTGGGAGCATATCACTCTCAAACCGAAAATCACCTGAACACAGCTCTGATCGTACAGTTAAAACCTCTTTCCTTTTAGTTACTGCAGGCGGGTTTTTTGTATGTTTAAAAACATGTGTTTACTATACATGTTCGTCTCGGACTATTAATCAAATGCTAACAAGGATTTTTTTGTTTTTGGGAATATCCTTTTCGCTTGTAATCAAACGCATTGACACTAAAACAATAAGAGGATATCCATAGACTAAAGATCAACTATAGACAAGAAACTCTATGCGAATTGGCACTAAGGTATCCATGGTAGAAGCAATGTGTTGTACTTGACAATAGGTGTGCGCTACAGATAACTGTAGACAACTAACACAAAAGATGTGTGCAGAATCAAGTGCCAAAACAAACAATCTCCCCTCTCCCAGCGACTATGAACTCTACCTCTAGGCCGACGACACCGTAGCCCAATTATTTTCTAGTGACATAGTCCACGACAGGCTGCAAGAAGCGGTGGCTAATCAAAATTAATTTTTCAAAGACAAGCTGTCTATTTTACAAAAAAGCCCCGTCAGAGATTACTGTGGATGATGTTTCGATACCTTGGGCTAACAAAGCCAAATGTTTAGGTCTTACACTCCACAAGGGTATGACTTGTCAGGCACACATTGAACAACTGAAAATTAAATTCCAAATTGTATCCCCTTTTATGTAGAACATCAAAATTGAGTTTGGTCAATAAGATTCGGATGTATAAAACTATCATCAGACCTGCACTAACCTACGCACGTGCGGCTTGGTGCTTTTTAGCTAAATCACATATGCGTAAAATACAAGTTCTGCAGAGTAGAACTCTCAGAACAATAACTAATGCCCCAGATCTTGACAACCTTTACCTTAGGGATTACATCAAAGGTATGGCACAATGGCGCTACCAGCAAGCGGAATCGTACAGCAACTCTTTGTTGCGTGAAGCATTAGAGGAGCTACGCAAACATGCCAAGCCGCGACTCGTGCCGTGAACAAAGTTAAATTCATGTTTACAGCTTTAAAAGTTAAAAACCAATCACCCAAAATTTGGTTCAGGGCAAGTCAAAAATGTATGTAATACAATGTAACAGTCCTTAGATCTATCACACCTCAACTATTTACATAAAACAATTTCTTGTCTTTCTCTTCTCGCACCTACTTCCTTCCTCTCTTTTTCCCTTTCCCCTACAACTTGTCTGGTTTCTGGTCCACCAGACCTGACAGACTGATGACAGACACTGACATTACAGTGACTATGACCTAACGGCTAAGGTCCTCCAGACCGGTCAGGTTGTCAAAATGGTGGGATTTTTTAAATGCTCTACATATACTCGTACGTGTTAATTCAATACCTGGCTAAAGTTCAACGGGCGATTTCTTGAGTAACCTTAAGAAGAGAAGGGTGACAAGGCTTAATTGATACTCTTTTTTCGTAAAAACTCAATCCTCTAGCAGTTTTTGCTAAGATTTATTAATATTCAGATGGTACTAACATATAGTTTTAGTCACTGTTCTCTTCCTGGAAATACTCTAATAAATTTTGCACGAGCTATCGGCCTTCTCCATTGATTGTATTTCCGGGCATGGTACAATTTTATATTGAAGATTGATAACAGGACAACTCAAATTGCACGCCGATGTCAAGTAAGTTGTCACTTTGACCAATATGATTGAAGGGCACGCATACGCAACGACAAAGTTTTCGAGACGGAGACACACAACTAAAAAACGTATGTCTTTGAGCTTAAGGGATACTGGTAGTCTTACTTTGACCCGTCAAGAACGGTGACCACAACTGTTACCGAAAATTTATAATCCGAGCAAAATAAAAGTTTGCAAAAATTCCTACAAAGCTGAAAATTGGTGAAGACCTTAAATATACCATTATGAATAATATATTAAAACTGCTTATATATCCTTGGAGTGACACATCCCGTATAATTAGTATGTATTTGATAGACATACATCACACACACACACACACACACACACCTACAGGCGCCTAGGCTCTTGTGGCGACGCGTGAATAGTCCTCAATTGTGGCGATATCGATGAAATTTCTCCTGAACATTCTACAGTGCTTGCGCAGTAGTCTGGTATCAATAAAAACGGGATACACTCCGTTTAACAATTAAAAACAGCTAAATTATATTGTGGCTACGGGTGTCATAACAACCTACATTTGTGAACAGAGTGTATGAGTAGCCACTAATATTGAAAGATGAGCTGTGTGTACCTTCAGGTCTCCATAATAGGAGTGTTTAGTTTTTGCAATGTTGTCATATCGGTTTGTCGCCACAATGATATATAAGTGATATTCAAGCACATATCAATCGATACTCTCATTGGCTTTAAGGATACGTATACGGTAGGATGTACTTCAAGAATCCTGGGTATTTCAAGATAATACCAAAAATGTATGAGGATGAAATGCGGTTGATGGCAGGCGCAATATAGTTTTAATTCTTTATTTTTTAAACAATTAATGTCAGTGAACACAATCAGACAACATAAAAAATATACAGGGTGAGTCCACAAAGATACGCGCATACCGATTGGTTATTATAACACAGCTCCTAGCAACCAATGAAATCAGGTTTTATGTGCGGTCGTGTTGATATTGTCTGATCTATGGTAATAGTCGTGTTCTCACTGTGGATCTATGTGGACCCACCCAAAAACTTAAAATCTCTTACAGTGCAAGAAATATACGCTGTACGAAGCGTAAAGTAGTTTCCTAAATAAAAAATAAACACGTACAGATACATCTTTATAAAAGGAGGGTCTCTAAGGCCTCTTTATGACTTGGTTTGTTTCCTGGCGAAAAGGTATGAAAAACTTGGTCTCTCCTAGGAAGTCTCAGTCGATTAGAGTCATTAAACAACAATTTATTAGAATAATTCTTTAAGGCCAATTTTCATGAACTTCATACCGTAAGGCTTTATTTTGTGCATGTTAATAGTAGCTACACAATGAATAGAATAATAATAAAACCTATTTAGTTTAGTAATTAGTTCAACAAATAGCCTTACAGGCCCTTCTTACTGTATTGCAGAGCAAAAAAAATGCAAAATTAAAACTTGTTACATTGTATGTTTCTTTTTTAGCTTTTTGTTTTTATCTATGACGTTTTTCACTGCATATTTAATTTTCTTCCAGTCTCTCTGATCCAGCAGAGGATGTGCTTCGATGCATTTCATGCAGTCTATTTTCCCTGGTACTATTGAGTTCCTGATATTAATTTTGAAATAGGTCAGGACAGCTTCCTTTTCTTTTGGTGTCCATGGTTGTTTACCTAAGACATAAAAATATTCGTGTTGTAAGAAAATTACTGTCGCTCAAGCTACAGCGTTCCCGAGAAAGTAAATCAGTACAAGCTATTGCTCCACAGTCAATATGCCAAATGCCGCTGAACCGACAAATAAATGGACCGGTACCATCGACATCTGAGCGTCAGGTAAACCAATGGAATTAATGAGATGAAGCTGCGTGATTGGGACATTCCGAAATCTCAAAAAAACCTCATTGAATAAGATTAGGATTTATTCGCGATTGCTTATGCATCCATAGATGAATATAGGTATAAATTGTGCATTCAAACTAAGGTTACCTTTTTTCTGTAAAGTCCGCTTTGGAGAAGCATTCTTTGGGAGTTCTGTAGGAGATGCATTCTTTGAGACTTCTGTAGGTGGATTGTCTTGCGGTGAAATTTGACCGTCCAACTCTGCCTCACAATCCGATCCATTCTCACTTTCCCCTATTTGTGGTAAATCTGCAAGCAACTGACTTATTACATCTAAAACTAACCTGTTATTTATTGGGTTGGTAATTTTCGGTTGCAGCTTACAATTATCGCGAACAATTTAATAAAATGTCTGTGGCGACCTGTGTACGTCGACACAATTTTTAGCAGTCACCATAATAGAGTTTTATGTAAGACATACGTGACCATTTCTCTCTATTTGTGGTACATCTGCAAACACAGCTGACTTATTACATTTGAGTTTCGCCTGTTATTAATTGGGTTTGATAATTTATTCTAGTTCCTAGACAAAGTAACTTGAACGGAAATTTGCTATTGATGTGGTCGGTTGGATTGAAATTTACCAATAAGCGCTGGTAAATAAAAAAGCCTAAACTCTCCCCATTTGTCGTTGGGTCGTGATAAAACTGTAAGGAATAAAATTGATACCTTACTTATCCATATCGAAGCGGTAACGAATTGTGCTTTTTACCTATCGTGTCGCACCAGTAAATAAGAAATATGCCTAAATTACCTTACATATGTTGATAAATCATTTACCGTCTATGTCTATATCTGCTAGTGACTTCCCAGCGAAGGTGCTCACTTTTCCTTCATCAACCGCCATCAGCAATTTACTAACTTTGGTCAGTTCCACGGTGCTCTCATGTAAGCGATAAAATTCTCTGTGGACCCGTATGTCGTGGCCCAAATGTCTTGCTAACCAGTCAGATTCGGTTTCAGTCAGATCAAACACCTTTAATATAGAATAACATGCTTTAAGGTATGTGATTATAAGAATTGATGTCTAGTAGATTGACTCGGTATTTCCCACGCAATTCTGGATAAATGGACTTTGAATAAAAATCTATGCATCTTCATTTTTCGATTTCTTGTACCCCTCTGTACTCTTGTATAAAATCACAAAGTAGAATAAGTATCAGTAAAAAACAATATTGCTTGAACAAAATTAAATTATGGAGTTTGGCCATTTTTGTCTTTGGCACAGTAGTAGCCTTGTTTGCAAATTACATGGAAATCCGTCCGGTCCTTTCCAAATTATAGCGGGGTCAAGGATAAGCACACAGATAGATAGACCGACAGAGCGATGGAAATGAGTGATATGTTTTTTTCTAATATACGTCTAAAATCCAAAAGACAATATCTCATTTTAGACATTTTTCACGATTACAAAACTTTGACGGTAGCGTGGGAAATAAACCGGCGTCAACCTCCTAAGATCAAGAAAAAATTAAGATGCAGATAACGTGGGGTGTTGCAGTAATACTAGAGTCAAGTTGGTGATGGATTCCGATGCTGTGAGTTAGGTAGCGGGCATGTTATTTAAATTGGTTCCCGATTGATTGAGCTTTGTATTAGCCACTCATCTCACCATATCAAAATTTATCCTTACTTCAATAATAAAAAATCAATGTTAGGTATCTAACATGATTCAATATTTATTGCACACAGTTCATAAATACAATGGACTCTCACATGGGTGGTTAGAGAGGTGGTGTAGTTTTTGAAAATTTAAAAATCGTTTTTATAGTGTAGTATGGAAATAAAATTTGTTTGAATAGCATTCAGCTATAATGCATTATTACTAAAACTGAAAGTAAAATCTGCTCATTGTGTCCGAAAAGCAATATAATGAATTCAATCGACTTTTGCATAAAATGGTTGAGATAATGTGTGACATTTTTCTTATAACATAAATACCTGACATACGGTAGCCACATATTTTCTTAGCTTAGTAGCTGTAATCAGTTCAGGATTTCTCAAGTCAGCCAGTTTGCACATCTTCGAAAGATAAGCATGCCCCCTTAAGGATTGAGTCGAATTCTTCGAGCAAGCAAATATATATGGGTTATTACCAGATATTCCACAATCTGTTCTTTTTGATATTAACAAGTCGAGCGCTACCCTAACCTCATCCGTAAGAAGAACTGGTACTTTCTTGGCCCTTTTCCCAGGAATTTCTACTACCGCTAATCGTTCGGCAAGTTTCACCTCAAATGGTGTTAGGGAATTTTTCAACTCAGTCGTGGATTGTTCACTCCATTGAGGTCTTGAGTTGTAGCTATCTATAGTTAGTCTTGCGGCTTCCCCAGATCTGCGCTTATTAAAAAGTATTATTCTTGCCAGTAAGCAATACGCTAGCATTTTCCAGCTTCGGAATCTGAAAATGTCTGTAGGCGTTCCTTGTACATTTTGATAGAGTTACTAATGAATGTGTTAAGTTTTAACAGATCTTCAGTGATAGGTAGTAGTTGAGTTTTGTTCATCTTTCGGCTGTACAAAGTATTAAGAGCATTGGAAGATATGCGTGATGCCCACTCCTTCTCCAGAAGGTTTAAAAACACTCACAAGGCAGGTTATCTTGGTTCCTTGCCATGGTCACCATCCTTTTTGTTCTTGATAACATCATGAATAAGATGAATATACTGTAAAAGATGCAATGCTTAGCTTTAAACTGGGAGCGACACCAGTATGAAAAACATCGTGCAACCGTACGATACAAGATATAAGATACCAAAGCACATTATCATACCTAATATTTATTGCAACTCGAAAAAATCATCATTTGTCAATTAATCCCAATCTACATTTTTAACCCTGAAAATTGGCCGCCCTACTAAGTGACAGTAATGACCGTGTCGCGCTTTGATTCAAACAATAAATGGCCAGTCTAGCACTTTATACTATTGGACCAAGATTCAATGATCAAAAGATCAATACTACAGATCGATTAGCGGATTTTGTGAACTTGTGCATTAATAAATAAATCGAAGGCAGGTGAGCAGGCTGATCAACATCGGTCTGCATTATGCGTTTTACTTTGTTTAAGTTGTTGATAAAAAAATGTTATCATACTTCAACTCATTTGAAAATTTAATAAAATATCACTGTATTGTATTGTGTTGAGGTGATGCCAGCCCATGTTGAAGATGCATTAGTATTAAGTCAACGTACATCAGATGGCTTCTTTTTTGACAAAACCGTTATAATTTCGTAAAAAGGTGACATTAGAGAGCTAGCCCATTGTGAAGGTTTCGTCTTGTGGAAAATTTCGAAAATCTCATTCCCGTAAGTGCGAGCGAGATAGGCTGTATGTGGATGCGGACGCGCGAGATAGAGCGTATAGTCTGTTCCTTTGAATGGTTCTTTAAAGTGGAAAAATTGAGTATACCATCCTGTTCTTTCATCACTACAAAATACACATTCAATAATCCATTTTCCGAAATGCACATGAAAATCATTAAGTGATTCTCAAAATTTTCGTCTTCACTGAACGTTATTCTGTGTCCAAAACCAATAAACTATTGGTGTTGAAAACCATCCCTACCTGCAGACATATGATCTTTTGTATGAATCATCATTCGGGTATTACATTTTGGAAATTTGTACATGATGAAACCATCACAATGAGCTGTCTCTCTCTCCATTTGCAAGATATAATTACAATCACTATTATTTTCCTACCACATTTGATGTGGTTAATTAATTTGTACAAATGTATCAAGATATACCTGACTACTTGGAAAATAAATAATATATAGCTCAACTTACCTGAGGTTGCCACAAATTATAATAAATCATAACACGCACAGAACTAACACGTGTTCTCTCCTATTAAATGAGAAATTAAACACAACTGCAACAGTGAAATCATTCCAAATTGTTTCAGTAAGAGGCGCTCGTGTCGCAAAATAAATGGTCTCCACAATCTTGTGTGTATGAGCACGGTTCATGAAACCGAATTGTGGCGACTTACACACTTTTCAGGTTTTTGCGCAGAATAATTGATCCAACGGTAAGAATGCTTGAGGATCACAATTGACTGGCAGGCAGACGTTCGCCAACTAGCGATTTCATTGGTTGAAATGAGCCAGTAGCGAATAATTTCATAAAATGTCTGTGGCGACGTGTGCAAGTCGCCACAATTTTCAGCAGTAGCCACAGTAGAGTTTTATGTAAGACACACGTCGCCACAAATATAGTACCGCCTACACACACCCACACACACACACACACACACACACACACATATATATATATATATATATATATATATATATATGCGGACAGTAGTCATTGCCATTGCTAACAACCAGTTGGACAAGAAATACAATTAATTATTAATCGGGAAATTGACAAAAAAAAATGTTTAAGGCTTTAGTAAACTCTTTTAACGGTAATCTCGAGCTTTCTGCACGCTAAGGAGCCATCATCAGGAGTCGTCGTTGAGGTTGCAGCCAAATGGTGTTTCAAAACGAAAGCGTGAATGGGAGCACTTGTTGCAATTATAAAACCGAGCGGACGGACACATTGGGTTTTTTGGTAACGACGGAAACCATTGTTAAGTGTTAACACTATATACACATATCAATACACCCGAACACATTAAAAATTATCGAACTGCAATTTTGGGGAAAAAACACGGCAGCGTCCCTTCTAACCTCCTACATCTGTTAGGATATGAATATATATATATATATATACACCTTGGGTAAAAACATTATTATACATTATGATGAGGAAGAGAGATGGAAATATACAAAAGTATGTAGGTGCGTGAAAGACACTCGATTGTAGGATCCTATGTGGCAGCGTCGGAGTGTGACGGACAACGGGGTAAAGTAGAAGAGTGATAAAAGAGAGAGATGGCAGAACGGGCGCTGGCGCCTACCGCTTAGACGGATGCGCTCAACAAATGCGATTTGTTTCTCCCATTCGCAGAGTTGCCGATACCAATATGTCATATTTCTAAGAAATCTAAGTCTACCCAAATTTCGGGAAAAATAGCTGCGGATTCCACATAAGAGTATTCCAAAAATGAAAAAAGTTCAAACTATTAAAATTGTATTAATGTTTCATGGTTCAAATCATATTTTTCATGTTTGTATATTGTTGTATAAATGATTTTGTAATCCCTATTCTTGTTGCCAGTAGAGATACAACAGTATTGAGAGAAATCATGGACCGCTAGATAGGGCTATAATTACCATATGACTATCAAATAGTAGTGATAAACAGGGTTTGTTTATAGCACAGTTGTCTGGTGTGGCGAATTTGCGCCATAGGGGCGATTTGACAACTTTGAAGGACAACTATAACGGTTACTATGGTGCCCGGTATTCGGGAATCTGGCAATACCTGATGATTCCTAACGTTTATTACGCCAGATTGTTTGCTGACTTGCGCAGTACAACATGACAATCAACGTGACTGAGCACCTGGTAACCCTGGTTTAAGGTGTTATATTTAAAGATCTTGGGGCAGTTAGGTATCTAGGTCACATTTTTTAATGTATTTCGAGAAATCCGTAATGTTGAGTAAATACTAGATCACGTTTCTTGCTTAGTTTGCTGAAAATTCTACAATAGACGTACATTTTGAGAAACAGAGATTTGGTGACGACAAAATCGTAAAAATATAACGCATTTTCGTAAAATAATTTCTTTGTTGAAAAGACTGTGGCTTGATGACCCATTGAACAAGTATAGTGTCCCGCTCCGCTTTGAATATTCGAAACACTATACTCCAGCAGCATTCAGCTTCAAAGTTAGCTTTATGAAGTTCTAACGTCTAGGCCATGCTGATTAAAAGCTTGAATGAATCAACACTTAACTCTAAATTCCCCACAATTCGGGAAACTCTACTCAAATTGGCAACACAGCATATCTGCCTATTATTCTCATTCGTGATACAGGTCTGCGGTTAACGGTAGGAAATATGTACGAATAGCGATGAAAGTAGACGAGCCGATGCGCTGTTGCCAAGAAATGATTTCCCATGTATAACAATGGTTTTTCCTAAGGTGTATATATATATATATATATTCATACCGAACGGTCGACGGTGTACTCATTATATGTATATAGGGCATAAAAGCAGAAGAGTACCTGAGAGTCCCCAGATCACTTGATCTCATAAACTATGACTCAAGAAATAAAAGTTTTATAGCTAACTGTATTTTCTACGTTTTTTCTAAAACATATTTTTGTGGTATTTCCTTCCATTATAGAATATGACAAAAACTTATATTTTTGCAATTCAATCCAAATAAAAGGAGATTCCGCTCCAAGGATATGTCTAAGGTATGCATCAATTTTTATCTTTGTGAGAATTTTGTAAACCTACAATTTTTTTGCCTGGGCTATATAAGGTTGAATTCGAAAAACGTGCCAGTAAAAATGTAAAAAGTTGAAATCCTTCGACCTATATGACAATTTTTGAATGTATAATAAGGAATTTTTCTTTAATGATTGTACTGGAACTTTTTAACAAAAGTAATCTAATGACTTTTTTTAAAAAAAAGAGAAACAAAACAGACTCCATGTGTCTTAAAAACGGAGCAATAAAAAAATACGTTTGTTTACACTTTTTTCTTTAAATCACCCAAGTAGCAAGTGTGTTCAGTAAACAACAACTTGAGAGAAAGGAAACATACTCGCTGTTACGGATGCCCTCATTCGAAAAATCGTATACAAGTTACAGTCCTCGCACGGTGATACCGTGGTAAGTACCCACGAGATGGCGTGGTGAGACTGGAAAGCGGTTAAGGATACCTCACCAATCCGGTTTGTTTCGCTTGAACGCCGCCATATGAGCCATCAAGCAGCTTGAAAAAACAAGGGAACAGTGACATGGGTGGGATTGAATTTGACTTTAGCAGTTGATCCTGAATGTGGGCTGATAGCTGGTGCCCATTTTCCTTTCTCTCAAGTTGTTCTTTACTGAACATACTTGCTATTATGGATCATATAGATGCGGCAAATGTTTTTACTCCAAAACTTATCCATTACTTCCTCTTGCTTGTGCTTCACTGTACGTAGTTTCATTCGAATAAAATCATTATTACTGGGCGTTCTATTTTCTTTATCACTGAAGGTAACGAGTATTTTGTCGCCTCCAGACATTCACTTCTTGCCGTTTCTCTTGCTCGGTTTTTATTTTTATTGCCCTACAGAAGCAAGCAGTTGCTGGGAGGTTGATAGCTGCTAGGATGTTATGGCGAGGGATATTGCGTACATATTGTGCTTTGTATTCTGTTTAGACGAGTAGCAACAGTTGGAATAGTATTCCGCGGGGGTATTCTTTTAGAACTAAACGTTATTCGCTAAAAATTATGGTATGGTAAATTTTTATATCTGTATTTTACACAAAAAACAGAGGTTCTGTATAGTTTAGAAGCGAAACAGACGCTTTTGCTTATCTTTGAACAGAACCAGCCTAAGGTTGTCAGAGGAACTGTTGTCTGGCAGTAACCCGATGACGCGCCACGTAGTTGTGATGGGTTGGCCGAGGATCCCATGTGTGAGCACTGCTGACTATACTGAGGTGCAACACCTCGGATCCCCAGAATGTTGAGGCGCTGGTAGTCAAACCTATACTCAACTTCGCTAGAAGGGCGGAGCTTGAGGCTTAGGAAATGTAGTGGTGGATAAGGACCCGCCATGTGGCCTACAAGCCGATTCTCCGTGGTGTCTGGTATGCCTCCAATTTCATTTATTCATTCATTCATTCAAACGTTTGGAATGGTATACGAAAAATCCGTTAGAGAGGGTACATTTTGACCTTCTGATTCAGTGTGATTGAAATTTGTTGAGTAATTATAACAATTCAGAAGTTCAAGAATTTTAGCATATTTTGCAATCCTTGAGTGGGTTGGGTGCGTAGGTTACTGTAGTATTACTGCTAGAGCCCAATATTGGAACAAGCTGGATAGTGACTGTCAGTGACAGAGATTTGTCACTAAGTTTGTAGCGCTATCCCTGGGATATACTCCGAACCTCTTATAGAACCTATACGAACTTTAAAAATATAGAATATCTAGCGCCATCTTTGGACTTCCTTCTGACACTGTGAAGCTAAACTTGAATTAAATACACAAGATATTTTAGGTAAACTAAGGCTCAACCTGATTTTATTTTTAAAATGTGTATGTTTTAATACAATACATAAAAATAATTATGCAAGTTGTAAGTAATCTAAAAATGATCGGTATTACCGATGTACTACTCTGAACATTTTCCGAAACCATACCTAAAAAAAGAATTGAATTTCATTATGTATGTAGGTAAATTTTTACAAAAATTGTGAAAATGAAACTGTGAAAGTTTTAAGGACACCAAAATGTTCGAAATATGAAATCCAGTTTATATATGTCGGCGTCAAGCGCTGAAATCCGTGATTCCCAGAAATGCCTAGTCAGTCCCCGTATTGCCGGCAACAGTTTTATTATTACAACGCTTGACTAAGCATTCCAGTCATTCCCTGTAATGACTGAACAATTTCAGTCAAACACCGTAACAACCACATTAACTTCGTTACTGTATTTGCCTGATTCAGTCATTCATTGTACCAGTTTTGTGTTCATTTGCTTGAGTATACATATCGTCTTTCCTGTGTTTGTAAAGATGTCGCAGCATTCAGAATGGTCTTACAAAAATTTAAGTGAATACTATGACTGAGCGAATAAGAACAATCCATGGAATACAAATGAGTTTAAGGAGGTAAATTAATTTTTATAATTTGATGAACCTAACCTAAATTATAACGTACATAGCCTTGCTCAACAGCAGCATCCACTGTTGCCGGATTTTGTATATAAATTCCAGATTAAAGGAATTTATAATTAGCCCTGTCTAAAGCACAAGCTGCCGAGCATCCCACTCGCAGCCGATTAGCCCAAAGTGCCGAACCTTCGGGAGACTTCCCAGGGCTGTCTCACAAGTAGCAACCTGATTACCTACGGCTGTCGGGCTGAGACCCTGCGGCCGTCGAGCTCCCAGAGCCGTCGGGTCCACGTGGCCGTCGGAATCTACCTGCCAACGCAACGGTCGAATTGATTACAGTTTTTGATGAAGACGCACTGAGCGTATCTGAGAAAAGTTTTAAAGACATGAAGTTGTCTCTACTAGAGTGGCCCTTTACAAAAGCACTCGTATTGTATCCAGTTACCATCGGCATAAAGATAAGGGCGTCGGCATAGTATGAACTATTCAGCAGAGCCACATATGAAGTAAAACGGGGCATAGTCTCTAGGGAGGAAGCGAACAGCTTGCTGAGAGGACATAACAAAGAGAATCTGGTGAGAAAGAGGAGGGCGTCGTCAACGGAGACTGATCGATTAACCAAATCGAAACGCTTGAAGAGACCGAGAATGCAATCTCAGATCTCACAGCGAAGACCCAAAAATTGAACATCTCCTACAACAGTTACTTCAGGGTCAGTCCAACCCGGAGTGTTACTCGGAAACAGAGGATGGCGACAGAGCGGACAGCTTTGGTAGTAGGTCTGAGAAAGAAGACGTAGGATCATTACCCGGATTGATGGGAGACGAGGAACGGGATCGGCCCTTGGTGGACTTCCTTCCGGATGTTAGGGAATTGGCTCAGGCTGATACGTGTCAACGCTTAGTGCTATCGGGATGGAACAAAATCCGATGTGCTGATACTCAGAAGCGGTTGCAAGCCACACCCATTTTTATGGCACTCAAAATGAATGAACAAATTAAAAATAAGGAGTAAAAATGGTGCTCTAGTGAGGTCGTGGCGCAATTTGATCAAACATTGGCAGATATTTCCCATGGACTTCTAAAGCAACTTCAAATTCTTGCTAGGGGTATAGAAAATATTCTGAAGGAGGTAGATTCTCCGACCCTAAAAAAGGCAATCTTTGAAAATATCAGTGGTAGTGATACGGAATTTAGATCTGTGACAGATGGCTTGCTGGAACTGACATGCGGCAGGAGGGCAGATGTTATTAGTCGTAGGAGGGACCTAGTTAGGTCAGCTTCAACTTACATGACTAACTTGCTAAAGTAGATCCCCCCCTCCACAGCCCACTTATTCGATGAAGGAAAATTAATGGAAACAATCGAAAGTCATGGAGGATATTATAATTTTTTTCCAAAGAGAGTACCCTATCGTTCCATAACCAAAGCCGAAAAACAGGAGGCCTCGCATAGGCAAAAACCAGCAAATCGAATGGGGTCACGTAGTATGGGCTCCAGTAGTCAAGCAGTCTCAAAGCAGGGAAGGAAAAGGCAAAGCAACATCGTAGGACAGTCTGAACCGTCCAAGGAAAAGAAAGCCCGGAAGCATTTTTGACAGTTTTCAGGCTGGCAAGCTGAGGACGTTTGTCAAAGAGTGGCAACTACTACAAGCTCCAAAATTTATTTTAAACACCATAAAGGGGTACAAAATTCCTTTTGCTTCACAACCGCCATTGACCAGGTTGAACGCCCATATACCGGCGGCGCTGCAAACACAACAGTCCCAGGATATGGACAAAGAAATAACAAAACTATTAGCAAGTCGATCTATCGAGACATCAACTTATCAAACCGGCTTCAAATTTCCCATTTTCCTGGTACCCAAAGAAGACGGGAAGATGAAGTCTGTCGTAAACTTAAAACGCCTAAACATGTTTTTGAGTCCAAAGCCGTTTCGGCTTGTCAACCTTCAGAGGATTCCCAGTTTTCTTCAACAAAACGATTATTTGATGAAGATCGACTTGCAAAATGCCAATTCCCACATTCCAATCCACGAGGGACATCGCAGGTTTTTGTCCGTCTCATACAGAGGAAAAATCTATCACATGACATGCCTACCATTCGCAATCTCGACCGCACGATTGGTTTTCGCCAGGATTACCAACTGGATAGCACAACTCTTGAGGTCAAACGGCATCAGACTGGTGGTTTACCTGGACGATTTTCTCATAGCGAGTCAAAATCGACAGCAAATCAAACAACATGCACAGCTAGCGGTGGAGCTGCTCACAAAATAATTTTGTCTAATTATTAGGCTTCATGATAAACAAAACAAAGACCACCGAGAGCCCAATGACGACGATAGAGTACTTGGGCATTATGCGGGATTGCCACAAAGCCCAGAAACGGCTCTCACAAGTCAAAGTGGACCGCATCCGCAAACAGATCCAGAGGTTTATTCAGAGAGGGTCATGGAACCGGCGCGAGGCGAAAGGGCTATTGGGACGGCTGAATTTCGCGGTATTTGCAGTCCCCTTAGGTCGCCTACACTGCCGCAGAGCACAGAAAACATCCAACAGACTCCCCCAATTCTCAAAGACAAGGTCGCCAATCCCCAAACCAGTTCTGAAAGACCTCCAGTGGTGGTTGATGCATGTAGAGGGGTCTTCACCAGTGTGGATTACGAAGAAGATGAGCTACCTGACAACAGACGCGTCCGACTGGGGTTGGGGAGCAACCCTGAACGAGTACACGACCTCAGAAACGTGTACCGAGAGCCAACGATACTGGCACTGCAACTGCAAAGAACTTTGGGCAGTTCTCGATGCAATCAAGAGAAATGCAATGGTAGGGAACCATATTGTACTGCTGCAGACGGACAACCGCACGGTAATAGCTTATGTCAGAAAGGAAGGGGGGACGAAGTCGATCAAGCTGCTGCAGCTGACAAAAGAATTACTCGAAACTTGTTCCAAATTCAACATCACGCTGCAACCGCAGTATATTCCGGGAAAATAGAATGGCACGGCCGATCACCTTTCCAGGGGCCGCCCTCTTCCAGACTGGTCTCTGTCGAATGTAATCACACAACAATTTTTTCACAAATGGGGGACACCGGAAGTGGACCTCTTTGTAACAAACTTGTCGGCAGTGATGCCGAAGTACGTCAGCCTAGACGCAACAGATTACAATGCTCACTGCATAAATGCATTCAGCAGACAATGGACATACTAGTTGGCGTGTATATTTCCACCACCGGCTCTTATCCCGAGAGTCCTGTCCCATCTGAACTCAGCATCGGGGCTCTACATCCTGATAGCGCCAAGCTGGGAAAAGGTGTTTTGATGTCCAGATCTTCAGAGAAGGGCAGTAGAAGGGCCAATAGTGATTCCCAACTTGTCGATGAATCTCCGGGACCTGGTAACGGGAAACCCACCTCCCAGGTGCGACGACTTGAAATTATAGGCATGGAAGGGTCAGGGTGGTCACAGCAAATCGATGGTTGGACAAGAGAGGACTTCTAGTATCTTCATGGAGGAGCTTCACATTGAAGTTCTATAGAAGTGCATGGAGTAGATGGAAGTCTTGGACAAAACAAAGTATGAGTAGTGCAGATAATCCAAGGGCAACGGATCTGGCTAAATTCCTATGCTACTTGTTTAGAAGTTGTAGGTTTTCCCCGAATACGATAGCATTACACAAGTCAGTAGTATGTACCTTTGCAAATCCGGAAAAATCTAAGCTCTTAGCCTCAAATGCCCTAGTACAAAGAACGATGAAAGCCATTAAGTTGAAACAGCAGCCTCCAAGGAAATCCATATGGAGTGTTTCCACTATCATACAGTGGCTGGTTCCCAACCCACCTGCAGAGGATAGTATCTTCCAGGTGTCTCGCTACGTAGCTTTAATGCTGCTACTAGCCTCAAGTAGGAGGGTGCATGACCTAACGCTGCTACACATCTCGGAGGGGTTTTTTCCAAACAAGAAATAACTTTGTCATCTTTTGGCCGGCGTTTGGTTCTAAAACGGATTTGGGGACGTTTCGACAATCACGTTGGCAGATTAGTAGCCGTCCAGGCAGTAATTTGGACCCGGTTTATTGGATTCTCAAGCTGATATCTGTTTCTATATCCAGAAGAAACACCACCAATGACTTAACCTCACTTTTCATCACTACAGAGGCAAAGTGAAGGGAGGATCTAGGGCAGTCATCGCAGGTTGGATCCGAACGGCGTTTACGGCGGCGGGCCTTGAAGCCTCTCCAGCCTCTCTCAGCAGTATCTTATGGATATCTAACTCATCCTTGGCGAACTGATGGCGAGGGGGAACTAGCGACGCCAGGACACATTTCTCAAGCACTATTTCAAGGAAATACAAAACCATTCGAACAGTGAGACATATAACTACCTCAGTGAGCCTTTCAGCTGGTGTAGTGGAGAGCAGTGAACTTACTGTTCTTTACAATTATTTTGAGTACCTGTACTCAGTATTACTTTTATTTTTACTGAATCAAGAAGAGAAGATCTCATTTAAGTTCCTACTTATATTTATATTATAGTACGTTATGAACCACAATAAAGTTTTTATTCATTATTTTGTTAAATGGTTTTGCGTTTATTTTCCATTTTCCACTTCCCCGAGGGTCAAGCCGAAGGCTCAGACCTAAAATAGAACCGTTTTTCCCCCGAAGGGTAAAAAAACGGATATTTTGGGACTAGTCGAGGCTTGATCCGAGTTGATGACTTGCCACCTCGGATCAGCACATCAGCACTGATGAGCGCGCTGCTAACAGCCGCCCACCGACTCAGGTCGCGCGCACGCTAGACGCACCCCGGAGCGCATATGGGCGTGCGGCTGGGGATATGGGCTAAAAAGGGGGCTGTATACGTGAGGTAGCGAGGAAAAAAGGTAAGATGCAATCTCCGAGGGTCAAGCCTCGGCTAGACCCAAAATATCCGTTTTATTACCCTTCGGGGGAAAAATGGTTCTATTCGTCCACGCTGGAGTTATTTAGATCAACAATACACGTCCTCGACGCGCGTTTCGCCATCAGTATTGCTGCGGTATTGTGAATATGTATAACTCTAGAAATAAAAATGAAATAAAAAAATAATGTTTGAAAGAATACAAAAAATATAAGATAATTCTATGTAACCTTTATTTGTTTGTCACAACTCGCAGTTCTGCATTTTGTTTTTTTAATGTGTATTGTTTTATATTTCTTTCGATAGCTTCAGGATATTTCTTGTTGATTTATTACACTAATGATTAATGCCTACAATAATGTAATAATAAAGACACCGCTTTAATCTATTCTTCTTTTCTTTTAGATTAACGCATGCTTGATTATTATGCTTTTAATATTATTGATAAAGTAGTACATTGTTATATTATTTACTTCATTGGAGCAACACTGTATTGATTACAGCGTTTGACTAAAATAGTCAAATACAGTAACGAAGCTAATGTGGTTGTTACGGTGTTTGACTGACATTGTTCAGTCATTACAAGGAATCACTGAAATGCTTAGTCAAACGTTGTAATAATCAAACTGTTACGGTGTTTGTCGGCAATACGGAGACTGACTAGGCATTTCAGGGAATGACGAATTTCAGCGTTCGACGTCGACATATATACACACAAAGGTATTACTTACTTGAATACTGAAGTTCAGGAAGATGCAATATAGGAAAAGCTGTTCTTCTTAGACCTCTCTTGGCTCCAGACACTTTATCATTTTCCAAAGAATGTAAATCACACACCAAATGGCTTATATAAATTTGTTCGTGACTTTTGTTGTCCAAAACTGGATTTTGCACTTACTCGATAAATTTGTTAAAAAGCTCGGCATCATAACATGGAAATATGTGCCTTTTACCGATTGTATCAGTACAAGGCACCACGCTTTTTTTAAATTCTAGCTTTCGATAAACCTCCATAACAAAGATTAAGTTTGTAAATTTAAATTCAGTTTAACGCTCAACAGATATCAGTACCACCGATACCAAACTAATAAAAACGCCGCCACACAAAATTCAACTTTCATTTCAAAGTTACGAGTACATCAACGTCAAAGCACTGAACATTGGACATTCAAAAAGAACGACGGGAAAACCCAGCGCCAGCGCCACTCTGTGGCTTTACGCCGTACTAACTATATAAGAATATTTGGTTGCTTATTAAACATACCTTCAAGGGCACTCATTTAACTTTCTTCTATAAAGTTAGGTGTTACGTGGGTGTACGCCATACATTAAGGACAGGGTTTGTCCGGAAAGTAATAGGACTCTTTTTCTTCCGCCATGACTTTACTTCGGAGCGTGCGCGCACCGACTGGATTCGGTAGAGGGCGTTCCTAGCTAACGAATGAGCGGCTGGTCAGTTGTCCCCGAGCACTTGGAGAGTCAGGACAGGCATTTTCGCGCGACGTGTTTCTGTGAGAGGTGCAAGCCGAAAATGCAGCGTTCGTTACAGCAGAGGTACGCGATTAAATTCTGTGAAACTCAGTAAATCTGCGACAGAGACGTTTGATCAAGCAGGCTTACCCAGGTGTTGCTTTAGCAAGAAGTGGTGTGTTTCGGTGGCACCAGCCCTTTTTGGAGGGCCGGGAAGAGGTCGCTGATGAAGACCGTGCTGGAAGACCTTCGACTTCGACAAACACCGATAATGTGACTCGTTAAATTTACTGAAATCTGTGGTTCATGACATTGTGACACAGCATTTGAACATGCGCAAGGTGTGCGCGAAGATGGTCCCAAAAGTGCTCACTGACGACCAGAAATTGCGGCGAGTGGAAGTGTGCCAAGAAAATTTGAACATGTGTGAAAGTGACCCCCAATTTTTGAATAACGTAATCACAGGTGACGAGTCGTGGATCTTTGAGTATGATCCCGAGACAAAGAGGTACTCTTCCGAGTGGCACACGACGGCGTCTCCTCGCCCAAAAAAGGGAAGAATGAGCAAATCCAAAGTGGAAACGATGCTCATTGTCTTTTTTTACATCAAAGGCATCGTCCACCATGAATTTGTTCCTCCTGGACAAACCGTCAACGCCAAGTTTTACGTGGAAGTGCTCAGGAAACTCAAACGAAGGGTCAGTCGGGTCCGACAAGACATCGCAGCCGACTGGAAGTTGCAGCACGACAACGCCCCGGCTCACACCGCCTTTCTTGTGAACATCTACTTGACCAAGGCCGGCATCCCAACGCTTCGCAGCCGCCCTACAGCCCAGATGTGCCCCCCCGGACTTTTAATGTATCCTCGCCTGAACAGGCCGATGAAAGGCAAGCATTTTGAGACGACAGAAGGGATCCAAGCAGCATGCACCGCGGCTCTCAAGGCTATTCCGGAGAATGCCTTCCGTGACGCCTTCAATGCTTGGAAATCGCGCTGGCAGCGCTGCATCGACGCAGAAGGAGCCTATTTTGAAAGTTTTTAAAGAATGGTAACGATTGGCTCAATAAATTTTTTTAAATCGACTCAGTCCTATTACTTTCCGGACAAACCCTGTATACCCTGCTTTGAGTGACATTTGATGATTGCGCCGAACATTAATGCTACTCATCATCCTAGGTATGGCGCAGCTTAACTTTTTTCAAATACTTATAAAGAGAATTGTCAAAGACGCACTGTCAGCGGGAAGTAATTTGATTTACATGTGAAATAGCACCCAGGTAATTAGCAAAAGAAATTAACAGAACAGAGCGACAGCGTCCGTCGAGAGAACCGATACGAAAACGGTATCGGAGCCTGCTGGAGACACACTATAGGTGTATAGGTTATGCAACTGACATAAGGGAAATACCAAAATCTGCACATCTATACTTTAGAAGCTGTCTCCAGGGACCTGAAAGGGGAGCATTCGGACCTGTTGAAGGAATGCGCAACCCCAAGAACTCAACTAATGGAACGAGACACAACTATGTACCGGGAAGCTTACCAATGAATTTTAAAGCTCCAGCAATATGTCATCAAAATAAGCAGAAAATATTAACAGGAAAATAGGCCTACATGCTAGGTCCTCGTCTGCGTCTCCTTCGGACGTGAGGTAAGACATGTTTGTCGAGACTTCTGAACGGATTTCGACCCGTCCCCCCAGCCCCGCTCCGAGTCTATTGGTAATATTTTTTATCCAATCGTCCTTACACCAACATTGCTCACAACCCATTAAACATTATTTTTATTGCTCATAGCATATAAAGTAGTCTGCCAAGAATGGTATGGATCAAACGAGACTACATTTTATATACATACTTAATACGTTTATATACAATACATATTTTATAACATACCTAAATTTGTATATGTATACAGATGAACTTGTCATCTTTATAAATATTTTTGTATTTTTTTTTTCAAAGCTGCAACGTGTTTTAATAAGCAAGTAGATATAGTTTGTCTTAGTTTTGGTTGGTTTAATAATGACGTCGAGGATGTTGATTTTATATTTCAAATGTAACTGTCAAACGATTATTTTGTGTTAATCTATTTTGTGATGCATTGGAAATATTGCATACTATAAAATTGAATTGGATTAAACATTTTTGAGCAGGCGAACATAGTAACAGAATATATAGGTATCAATAGGCCTGACACCACTTTTTAAATGCCAGGTATTTACGTACATGATCATTATTATGTATTTTATTTTACAGAATAAAAGTGGATGAAAACGTGGAAAGTGTAGTTTTAATGACTATTTGCTATAACGGTTACATATTCGTTAAGTTAGCATTTGTCTATCAATATAATGCAAGTCGAACATAACAGAGGGGGCGAGTGTCACTGATTAGAATCCTGTAAAAAATCGTCGTTTTAGTTAAGTTTGTTATGTGTTAGTGTTCTGCGCAATCGTCAGATGGCGCTGCTAACAGAGCTGCTTTCCAGTGGTTTTTGGTTTGAGAGTGATTCGCTCCCGAACTGTTCC